ACGTGTAAAGTTTTTATTGAATCCTAATTACCAGTATTATATTGTTATAGGTAGTTCGAGTAAAAATCAGATTTGTGGTCAAGTTATTTGACTTTGTTAATTTAATTTTCACCTATTAATAAATAAAAATAAAGAGTTATTTATAAAATATTTATTTATTTATTACATATACAAGTTATTCAAATACAGACATTATAAGGGAGATACCATACCTGCCTTTAGACCCTTTTGGCAATGTCCTATTGTAGAAAGTTTACAAAAATATAAGAAAAAGATCTGGTTAGGCTGTTGTATGGATATAATCATTTCGGATCAGGTAAACGAAATAGATTATAATGAATTTTGGCCTGCATCATCACGAGCAGCATATTATGGGTGAAAATTATTACCCAGTGTGAAACTTTCGAGAACAGTGAATAAATAAGTCGATATTGCATTTACAGCACATTGTTCTTCCTCGGCTGCTACAGTTTTGACCACCACATCGTTTTTTTTACGTTCAGGAAAAGTGTTTGAATGATGATGCAGTCCATAATACCTTATATCATTATTGACTCAAAAATCACTTGCTGCAGCCCGAAGCATATTCTTCTGTAGCGCAAGGTGGTACTTTATATTTCCTCGGGTATGTCTGAAAATAAAAATAAAGTTAAAATTGTATGATTTCTCAAAAAATTGTTAATTCTGCTCTACCTGTGATATATTTCCCATTCGAATAAACAATTTTTGCACTAGCACAAAGTTGCCTAGTAGATAGGTCAGCTAAACCACGTTCCTCATCTGCTGAATCTTAGTCAGTGAGCTCTTTGCTTTCTGTGTGGGCTCAATAATATGCCATCAACATTTTCATTATCATAAGCAGTATTCAAAACTTCCTGATGGCTAATTCCACTAAAACAAAATGTACAGCAAAAATGTTAGCTTCTGCCCAGGCCCATATGCCATATGGGACAGTAATGTTTACAAGAATATAATACATAAACAAACGATCAATTTATGCTCGAAAAGGAATATGTTTTTATAATAATATGAGAAAACCCTAAAAACAATTAAATAGTATAGAATAAATTATCTTATAGTTATTATACTTACATAAAGAAATGTAAACAAAACGCCGCGTAATTCTCCTAGGGCTCCATTAAATCATACATGCTGAAAACGTGTAAATAGGCAGAATGACGAAAGCTAGCCAAATATCAAAATATCGCGCTCAGATCGCACTTTTGACCTTGATGTTTATTGGTTCCGTCATAGGGTACCTTTACGCGCTATAATGGTTAATCAGAATCAAAATAATATATTTTTTATGACAAATTTATAAAACCGCTGGCGCAAACAGCTGGCGACTTAGTTATGACGTCAGCAGTGGTTGGAAACATTTGAAAACCAATATGGCGGCGATTACCCAAAAAGGGGCCGATAAGCACTCCTTAGAAAGTTTATTCTCCTTGAATGCGACGTACGTTTTCGTAGTCATAGCAATCTTCGATTTTCGATTGGTTTTTTTTTTTGAAGACCCGATATAATACAAGGTTGTTTGAGAGAGGTAGGTTACCTAATAACCTAATGACGTCACCTGGGGTGCCTCAACATAATGCAAATCTCCATAAGGCACCCCAGATGTGTCATCAAGTTACCCATTACCAGACATTCCAGACAACTTATTAACTTTAGGAACCTTGACTATAATGGATCTTAACTTAACACTGTTATGGCGGCCAAGTTCGCTTGGTCGAGTGTTAAAACCCTTGAAAGGAATACAACTAAAGGCCCATCCTCAATCAATCTGGTAGCGAAGTGGCACTTCGGCACGCATGCTAGGATAACCTTGGCATCCTCAATTCAATTCCGTGCTAGCATGCACGCCGACTCCGAAGTCCGAAGTGCAAGCTTGTAAGCTTTTTCGATGCGGGCCGGTTTGTGTCATAACGCAGTACGGTAAGAAATAATTCAGGATAACCTTGCGTTCGGTATTTTGCTCGAAGAGCAGAACGGAGCTGTAATCACCTGGGCAACGAGCGCACACCAGCAGTTAAAAATTGTATCAGATGTGAATGAGCCTGCACCGAGTACACTTCTTAAATAAACGAACGGTGAATTTATGCTCGGAGAACTCAGTTCAAAATACCGAATGCACGGTTCGTGACCGTTCTAAACTCTGTTTTGTTTTGTAAAATTGTCAATATTTTCAAATTTTTTATGTAGAAAAGGCTTCTGATGCCATCATAAGGTGGGTTCGGCTTGCTAACTCCGTGTACTCCGAGTGACTCCATTCGCACTCCAGCCGTTCGGGTTGAGGTTCGGGTATTGTTTTTTACCGTATTGGGGTGACTCCATTAGCTTTGTTCTTACTCCACTCCAACGCTGCGCTGAATAGCCGAACCCAGCTATAGTTATTACATTTTTGACTTGGGGAATTATAAAAAAAAACAGACTTTACACGCACAGCTATTGAACTCGCACAGCAGACTGAAAATTGACAGCATTGAGGATGGGTATCAATTTCCCAGCACGCGTGTCGAAGTGCCACTTCACTACCAGATTGATTGAGAATGTAGCTTAAGGCACGCTCCAGCTGCCCACCCCACTCGGAGTTTATCGAGCTCGCTCGGAGCGCTCAAAATATGTCAAACCAAACACACTTAAGATAGAGCGTTGTTAGAGCATCAAAAATAACTGACGAGAGTCAAAAATGCAAGCTTGAGTGTACCGAGCCCGAGCGTGAACCTAAACCAAATGACACCCAAACTCACCCATTATTAGCCGCGCAACGAGCAACTACTCTGGAATCGTTCAGATTGTTCAGAGTTCAATTTGAATTCAGTTCTATCAAGGTTCTATCATAATGTAAAGTCTGTTCTTTTTTTTTAAAGATAAAAGTCAAAATGACATTATGTTGGCAATACAATGTAAAATTGTCAATGCTTTTAAATTTTTTATGTAGAAAAGGCTTGTGTTGCCAACATATAAAAAAGTTACTAAATTTTTGACTTGGGGAATTATCTTTAATAAAAAACAAACTTTACCCTGTGAAGCTGTATTCATCAAGATCGTTCTGATTCCTCTAGCAAATATATAACAAGTTGTAACACGTTTTATGGAGGAATCAATTCATTTTAGTAGACATTTTGAGCAGGTCCTAAATTTGAAACGTATTCGTATCCGCATCGATCTGCGCATGGGCAGAAAAGATACGGTGGTTTTGATGCGCTCCGTTGTCCGCAACGTTAAGCCCATTTTACAATGGACGTAATTGTAACTGTAAAGAAGTAACTTAAGCATGCGCACATTAGATCTTTGCGTCAAATATGTTACCGGAAACGCAAAGTAAGAGAAGATGAGAGTTGGTCATCTCTTACGTTTCGTTTCCGGTGACATATTTGACGCAAATAAATCTAATGTGCGCATGCCTAGGACTCATGTTATGTTAACGTTACGTAACGAAGCGAAACGCAACGCAAGCATTTTAAAAATTACAATTTATACTTTTCTTGTGTTTGGCATATGCGCAGTGATGTGCCTGTAGACAATGTCAACGTAAACAATTGATTGTCTACGCGTAGACAATTCGAATTGTTTACGTGAGCATTTGTCTACACATTAGAGAGATATCGGTAACCCAAATAGTGTCATGCAGTATTAGCGCCTACGTTATTTTGACATTAAACCTATGCGCGATTCGATTTTTAACACTACGTACTGAAATAACGTTACCGCATAACGTAATTTACCCAGCATTTACGTTAAGCGCTATTTCGAATAACGTCTAAAAATAACGCCGTGGAATAATAGGTTATGTTTATTGTTTATTTTATTTTTTTTGTTGTGTTCAAATGAATATGGATTGTTTAAAAAATAGTAAAAAAGCAAATCATCTGTCCCTGACCATTTTCAACAGAGAACACAAATCAAATCAATACAAGGTACAAGTTAGGCTACGGTTCTAAAATAACGGATGCGATCAGGCAAATTTTACGTTAAACTGTTTTCCGATAACTCTAATTTGAAAGTATGATACCGCTTTACTTTAAAAAAATAACTCCTGACGTTATCACCGTCCATACGCGCTATCTGTTCTACCGATATCTCTCTGTCTACATGCGGCGTAAACAATAACTTATTTTAAAAAATTCGAAAAAAAATATCAAAAGTTACTATACTATCACGATCACTTCGACATCAGCATTCACTGATTGGAAAATATCAGGAAAACCAATAATAAAATAAAAAAAAATTAAAAAAAGGAAAGTGTGAGGATAGAATTAAACGTCATTTATATTATTTTACATTGTTGACACGTCGTCTACATTGTCTACACGTAAAGTAGACAATGAAAGTCTACGTGTAGACGCACATCCCTGCATATGCGTCGAAAATTGTTGAAAATCAGTGATTTACAACATTTGTCGTTTTTTTTGATACTGAAGGCCTGAGTTCCCAGCTTAGGTTTTCCTAGCATCCCGGAAGCATTTTTATTTAATTATTTTTGAAATGTTTGGTTATGTCGAGTATTGTTGTGTTTTCATTGGTCAAACGCAATGAACGCAACGTGAAAAACTGAAAGTTGGCCAACTTTTGCGGTACGTTATGTTACGGATATACGGCTACGTTAAAAAAGTATGCTTCACAGAAATGTAATTGTTTAACTTCTTAGTGTACGGCCACACAGAACGCGTTCAAAGCGGCATAAGCGCGCTTGGCGATTAAAGTGTTTGGAACGTCTTTTGCAACTAGAATTAAAATAATGTAATATATAGCGAGTGGCCCGACAAGACGCTTTTTGCATTTTGCGCTTCTCTCGTTATATATTACATTATTTTAATTCTAGTCGCACTCGCAAAAGACGTTCCAAACGCTCACCAAGCGCGTTTATGCTGCTTTGAACGCGTTCTATGTGGCCGTGCACTTACGGTAGTTAGGCAACGTTGCCAATACAAGCGCGTTTTAGAAGGATTATGCAAATGCATTGCGTTTATGCAACAGAGTTGCCAAATGTGGAAGCCGAACATAAACCTAGAAATTGAAAAAAAGGAGAGGGCATGAAAAATAACAGAATTTTTTTGTTTATTTTTTCTGTTTTGTATAATTATGCCTTGACTCAGCCTCAGTTGCTCGAAAAGTTTGTATTTAGATTTGCGGTTAATTTCATGTCTTTTGCTCTGTAAATTGTGTAGTTTCATTAATTATTTCAGAATGTCTATTTATTATATTAATGAAAACAAGCAAGGTATCACTATGACATGATATGTGAAGATACTTCCTGATCTTACTACCCAACTACTATGATTTATTAGCAACTCTCAACAAATATTGAAATTTTGATGTACAAAAAGCCTCATTGAAAATGACTCGAGTTATCAACAATGATTATTACATTGCCTTGGAATGCAAGGATCTGCAAGCGAATGCCATGTCTCTGGACTGCACAGGGACTTATGCACTATTGGCCGGGTAAGAACAATATTTTTAACTTATAATACCTATACTTTATTTTTTCCCAAGATATATAGGGTGGTCCAAAAAAAACCGGAATTTTGTTTTTGAGCTGTAACTTTTTTATTTGTTGACCAATTTTCTTTTGTTTTGGCTTGTCTGAAAGAGAAATGAATAGACTAACGGATCAAGGTAAAACTTTTGACATTTGAAAAAAATCCAAAATGGCGGACTCCTTCAAAAATTGCCTATTTTTGGATAGCGCTGGAACTTTTTTGTGACACCCTGTATAAGTTTTTTTAATAAATTCTGAAAGTTCATCATTTTGCGAACATTTTAAGACCTCGACAGAAAAAATCGGTTGAAAACTAAGTGAAATATTGAATTTTTTGTAATATCGTATTTCAATTTTTTATATTGACAGCAAAATCTGGGATATGCTATTTCAGCTATATTTTTTTTTTTCTACTCGACATATTCTTTCTATTTCGGGCTTGTTCGGAAGATAAATAGATAGGATACGGATTCGAAATGAAGATTTTGACTGGTTGAGAAAAAATTAAAGATTTCCCAGTGCCTTCAACATAGCTAATTTTGAAAAAAATAGTGTTAAGTTTTCTTACAATACGACCAATATTTTTATTTATAAATTTTAAAAAATAAAGTAAACACATTTAAGGAGCGATATGCCCTCTGTGGGTCTCAACAACCTATGCTAAACGTCTACGCCAAGAATCGATAAAATTGGCAATGTTACATTGTTCCAACAGTTCTCCACAACACTCAATGATTCGGTTGCGCAGCTCTTCTAAATTATTGAACGTAGCCCCACTTCCGTGGACTTTTTCTTCCGCCTTATATCACCCTATAAAAAATAATCGTAGGGATTCAAATCTGGGCTATAAGGCGGCCAGCGGCCAGTCCCGTTGACTGGCCGCTCTATAAAATTCGCAACTTGCTCTCTTAGATAGTTGACAGTAAAGAATAATTATAAGTGATTTAATGCTGAAGCATGTTAAACGGGACTACACATTTGAACTATCCTACTTAATAGATTTAGTGCCCGTGCTGAAATCCGAAAAATCTGGTTCAGTGATAGGAACATTTTCACCTTATCCGGAGTAAAGAATTCGCAAAACGACCAACTACGAATTTCCCTCCAAGCTCGAAAAGCAGATAAAGGAAGAGAAAAATTCAGCAGTTATTTAATGGTATCTATCTGCAGCAATTTCTCGAAGCCACAAAGCGCAACTAATTGTTATCGACCAAGGGGTTCGCTTAGATTCACGCAAGTATTGTAGCTTGTGTTCGCCAATTGCTATCCGAAATCAAGGTTGTTTGAGAGAGGTAGGTTGCCTGATAACTTTTATAACGTCATCTGAATGCCTGAACATAATGCAAATCTCCATATGGCACTCTAGATGCGTCATCAAGTTACCCATTACCAGACAACCTGTTAACTTTAGAAACCTTTATCCGAAATTGAACAGCTCACACCTCAAGACTACACTTTTATGCAGGTAATTTTATAACTCACCTAGTTAACATTTATTGTTCAGATTTTGGTTCTCACAAAAACTTTGATAAAATTGTACGTTTTTGTATTTCTCTTTTTATGAGATACCTAAAAGTGATAAATACTGTTCGTATATAAAATGGAGCCAGGTGAAATAATAGCCGCTTTACTATCAACTATCTAAGGGAGCAAGTTGCGGATTTTATACAGCCCGTTGACTGGCCGCCTAATAGCCCAGATTTGAATTCCTGCGATTACTTTTTATGAGGGGATTTGGGAGAAAAAGTCCACGAAAATGGGGCTACATTCAATAATTTAGGTGAGCTGCGCAACCGAATCATTGAGTGTTGGGGAGAACTGCTGGAACAACGTAACATTGCCAATTCTATCGATTCTTGGCGTATACGTTTAGCATGGGTTGTTGAAGCCCACGGAGAGCATATCGCCTCTTGCCCCTTCAATGTGTTTACCTTATTTTTTAAAATTTATAAATAAAAATATTAGTCGTATTGTTAGAAAACTTATCCTTAACTTTTTCAAAATTGGCTATGTTAAAGGAACTGGGAAATCTTTAATTTTTTCTCAACAGTCAAATTCTTCATTTCGAATCATTATCCTATCTATTTATCTTTCGAACAAGTCCGAAATAGAAAAAATATGTCGAAAAGAAAAAAAAAATCTAGCTGAAATAGCATATCTTAGATGTTGCTGTCAACATAAAACATTGAAATTCGATATTACAAAAAATTCAATATTTCACTTAGTTTTTAACCGATTTTTTCTGTCAAGGTCTTAAAATGTTTGCAAAATAATGAACTTTAAGAATTTATTAAAAAAACTTATACCGGGTGTCACAAAAAAGTTCCAGCGCTATCCAAAACTAGGCAATTTTTGAAGGAGTCCGCCATTTTGGATTTTTCTCAAATGTCAAAAGTTTCACTCTGATTCGTTAGCCTGTTCATTTCTCTTTCAAACAAGCCAAAACAAAAGAAAATTGGTCAACAAATAAAAAAGTTACAGCTCAAAAACAAAATTCCGGTTTTTTTTGGACCTCCCTATATTTTGACATTGAAAACTTTGAAACATAAACAATAACGCTTGACCCTGATTGGTCGCAAAATGAGGCAGGGATCGACGGATATGGCATATCGGCGTATCGGCCATTTTCAGGTATATCGGTGTATCGGCATATCGGCCCTTCATTGGCCGATAACTTTAGACCGATACTAATCATATTTTGAAGATCAGTAATCATCACTAAGGCTTTTTTGAATCTTAAAAGAGCTAATAATTGTGGTTGGTACATATGGGAGTGACTAAGAAAAAAGTCAATATTAAAAATTGTTTCTCATAAATTTATTTTAAATTAATTAGGTTTTTATTTTAAAAAAAAACTTAATATTCTGCTTATCTAAACTCAAATTCAAAATTATTTATTTATTAAAAAAAAAAACTAAACTTTCTGCTTATCTGAACTCCAACAAACAATATTAAAACTAGGAGAAAACAAATAAATAAAACATTCAAACTAGAGGAAAAGGTGCGAGAAAACAAATAAAACATTCAAACCAAAGGAAAAGGTTGGAGAAAACAGATAAATATATATCGGCCTTATATCGGTATCAGCCTTCTATAAATCCATATCGTATCGGTATCGGCAATATCGGTTTTTAAAAAAATAAAACGTATCGGTCGATCCTTGAAATGAGGTGTTTCTGCAGGTTGACATCAGTTTTACAATAGCTACCAATAAGCGGCATTAGCGGCATTGTTTATGTTTCAAAGTTGACAATGCCAAAATCTATCTTGGAAAAAAATAAACCATAGGTCTGTTCTGTTTTCACATAAATCACAAATCACAAACTTATCAGAGAGAATTTTATTGGTTGAAAACTGGATGTTGGCGATTTGCACCAATCAAAAACGCTCGTGACTGGTTTGTGATTTCTGTGAGAACAGACCTAATATGATTTTGAGTAATTAATAACTGTAGGCGTTTTTCGAGTACTTTCTAATTTGATCACAAAAATTACATTACAATAACACCACCTACCACCTAGGGTTGCCAGATTGGAATATCTACAAATCGGGTATACCAATCAAAAAGCTATTAAAAAATCGGGACGTTGAATAAAAATTGGGACACTTTTTTGTTTTGAAGGAATAACATAATACAATGTGTCCCCGTTAAGCTGGTCAAAAATGCTAGGGTATTTAAAGGAACCATAGAGAAGCAGTTTGAGATGGGACACCAATGGTCGGAAGTGCATGGTTTCCAAAATACAGGGTGTTGAAATTTAAACAACCCCCTTTCATATGAAAATTTGGAACAAATTGCATTTTTTTTTCAAATATATTTTTTTTTTTGAGGTGGTTCCAGGTAGAAAATGGGGGTGCATTATACGAATTTTCAAATATCATTCCTACATCAATAATCCCTGAAAATTTGAACAGCCTAGCATTAGCCCTTCAGATGATATGAAAAGAGGTTGTTTAATTTTCACTACACCCTGTATTTTGGAAACGACGCACTTCCGACCGCATCAGTGTCCTATCTCAAACTACTTCTCTGGATCCTTTATACAGGGTGATTCACGAAGCCCATACTAGCTTGAGCTTGCGAGTGGGTGGATTATTCAAATTCAAATTCAAATTCAAAATTAGCTTTATTGTCATAAAAAATAAACATTTGTAGACAAAGCCTTAACATAAAAAAATACAATAAAGAAAAAAAAAAAAGTAAATACAAATGCATGTCATGTTATAAATAAAAAGAAGAAAAAATTAAAGTTCATAGAAAGGTTTTAAAATTAAATAAAAATTACACTAAAAATAGCAAATAAAAGTAGAATACAATACAGCTGAAAGTCGTAAAGAAACAGTGTTCCTACATAAAAATTTAATAAAAATGTATAAAATTAAAAACATAAATTTAAACAGAATGTGTATACTGGACAAAGTAAAAATAATATAAACAACAACATCATAAACAAACAACACACTTATCTTAATAAAACACAATTCAAAAAATTTAAAAGAAAATAAGCACAAAAAAGGATCAAAAGGAAAGAAAAAATATATATATACAGGGTGTATATTTTAAGTGATACCACTATTGCTATATCTGAAACGGTAAGAGCTACAAGGATGGTTAAATTAGAAAAAAGTTGCCTTTTTTGATGCCCATTCTAGGCTTGTTTACAGTGTTGCCAAATTCCTTCTTGTTTACGAAATACAGGGCGATTTCTAAAAAGCGCCTAAAATTATTTCATCAATTATTTCGAAAACTATTGATATTTGAGACACAATCTAAATTTGAAAGTTTTTTAATTTTTTTTGCTCTACAACATGGCATCTTCAAATTTTAAATCCGAAGTTTCGTGATCGAGCTACCATCATCAACTTAATTTTTTTAAATACGGACCTGAACTTTTTATGTCATTTTTATGACGGGTAAGCAGGGCGCTTTCTAATAATGACATAAATAATTCCAGTCCGTATT